TTCCCCCCCTGGCCGAGCGGTCGCTCCGCTGGCATTGATGGCTTGAGAGTTTCCCTCGTATTTACTGCGCTGGCCTTCAGTGCTCGCGCATCGTACCGATTCCACACGATCGCGTTGATGAGTGTCGAGAGCACGCCCGTCGTCGACGACGTCATCTAAAAAGGGCGAGTGGGTGGCTTCCTGCTCCTCTGGAGCCAACTGTATCAACGCCATCGGAGGTCTTAGCGAAGAAAAGTGCCAGCCGGCCACGAGTGCTGACGACACGTAGTAGTTGCGGCAATAGTTGGGGGAAGCACTTGGATGAGTCACTGCGCACATCCGGGATTTCATTTGCGACGAGGTGACGAATTCGTCAACGCTTGTCTTACGCAGGGTCATGAGCGGAAATGGTGGAGGGACGAAGAGGCAGAGTGGCAAGAGCGGCCAGGGCCAGGGCAAGGGTAAACCCCAGGCGGGGAAGAAGAGGTCGAGCGGGAGGAGGTCGGACCAGCGGACAGTGTGTGCGGCTCCTCCACCGGCCTGTCCACAGCCGCTCGGAGGTCAGTGTTTCGGCGTGGTCACCGAGTGCAAATCTGGTTTTCTCCGCACAAAGTGTGTCCACGGCGAGGTCTTCCACATCAAGCGCGAGCAGAGCGGCGCCAGGGCGAAAGGATCACGCCAGCTGGTCAAGGGTACCCGGATCAGTTTTACGCTCGCCCATACGGCGCACAACGGGCACTTTCGCCCCGCCCGCAAGGCACGGCGGATGATTGATGACGGACAGGGTGGGATCATTTCGGAGAGAGGCACCCCGGCGGCAGCCACGCCTCCGTTTGCTGCGCTGACCGAAGCGGGCAGTGTCCTCCGTGCTGCGTTGGACGACATCATGGGTCGCGCCGCCGCGATGGACGACTACGTAGCTCGTCGGGAAACGGAGCTGCGGCAGATGGAGGTGGAGGCGGCGAACGAGGTGCGCCGCACCCGCAAAGCCGCTGAGACTTGGGCCGCCGATTTCAAGCGGCGCGCCGAAGAAGAAGTGGCCAGTTTGCGCGAGATAGCCGAGAGTGAGCGGAGCGCTTTGGTGGCATCAGGGTCGGCCGAAGCCGCAGCAATGCAGGCTGCTGCCAGTGCCGACGCCAAGAACATCGAGAACGAGCGTGCGGTGTGGGAAGCCGAGAAGCAGAGCATTGCAGAGATCCAGAAGTTTGACTCGGACGTCGTGACGATCAACGTCGGCGGCCAGGTTTTCTCCACATATCTTTCGACCATCACTACTGGCGCGGCAGCAGATTCAATGCTTGCCGTCCTCTTCTCCGGGCGGCATTCTGTTGCAACAGACAGTGAGGGTCGCATGTTTCTCGACCAGGATCCCGTCCTTTTTGCCGATCTGCTGACCTTCTTCCGCTCGCCACTCTCGTTCTCGCTCCCGGACGACAGGCGAACGGCGATCCGACTTCTCTTTCTTGCTCACGAGTATCAAGTCACCGCTCTTTTTGACAGGTTTGCGTGGAGCGAGACCAAGTCCGCACGGCTGGCAAGCCAACAGCTGACGCGTGGCTTTTGTCAAAGTGGCTTTCAGGTTGTCGGGCAAGGCAGCTCCTTTGTCGCGAAGAAATCAACATCATGGAGTGCAGGAGATGGATTTATCATCGACGCAAAAAGCGTGTCACTTTCGTTCCGGGGAAATGGATATGACTACTATCAATCCCCCAGCAAGATGAAGGTCGTTGCAACGATGAAGATCAACGACAAGCAGGTGTCGTCAGGAGAAGCTAGTGGATGTTTGGACGGCTCCGAGATCCAGATTCGCTTCATGCCGTCCACACCAACGATGGTGTCTCACGGTGACACACTGAGTCTTCGCTTTGTGCTCACCGTCAAGAAAGCTGCAAGTGCAGTGGCGGGCTCATCCAGTCACCAACACTACATCGGGTACGGTCGCCAACAGAGCATCATCTCAGGGTCACTGAGTTCCTTCCAGTGTAACTTACAGGAGCTGTTTGATCCATCGCTTGCCCCCATCATCGACAGCATGGACAAGTAGCGCAGTCGCGGCGAGTTCCAATCACGGTACGTCACACGTAAAATCACACATTCTCAGCCGCGCGATGATGGGTAGTAGCCATCTGGCTCTGCTGTCAGCGCCAACAAGCATAATGATCTGGCTGGCAACGCAACACTTGTCTTCTTGTCTCACACCCGAATGTCGAGTACAAGCACGTCTCTTCCATCAGCGGGTGCCACACCAATCGCGAACGCCATTACCGCCGTCCGCCTCGCTTGCGCCGCTACCCGATCAGTGGACCCGAGCCCGAGCGGGACCCACGCCAAGGACGACGCATCGCCGGTGACCATTGCCGACTACGCGGCGCAAGTGGTTGTCACCGTCGCGCTGCGGAAGAGCGGCTCGGCGCTACCTATCATGGGTGAGGAGAACGCCGACGATCTCCGCGGAGCCCATGCCGATCTTGTCCCGCGCATCCGCGCCGTCGCCAACGCGGTCCTTGAGCCTGCGCTTGGCGCCGGTCTCGCCGACGACGCCGAGGTGCTTGCGGTGCTTGACGAGGCCGACGCCGCTGGCGGGCCGGACGCTGTCTTCTGGGTCCTCGACCCCATTGATGGCTCCAAGGGCTTCCTCCGCGGAGATCAGTACGCGGTCTGCCTCGCTCTCGTCGATGCTGGCGAGGTCGTCGCCGCCGCCGTCGGCACGCCGCACCTCCCCTGCCGCCACGCGCCCTCGGTGGGTGCGGTCTACGCCGCCGCTGTAGGCGTCGACGGCGCATGGGAGCTTCCGCTCGACGTCGAGGCTGCCGCCGCTGCAGGCTTGGCCTCGCCGTTTGCCGGTGAGCTCGGCTTCCGCGTGGCTGCCGACAGCGGGCTGGCCGACGCCAGCGACGCCGTTGCCGCCGAGTCGTTTGAGGCGAGCCACACCAACCACGAGTGGTCGGCGGCATTGCTGGCTCGACTGGACAATGCCACGCCGCCGATCCGGATGGACTCGCAGGCCAAGTACGTCCTCGTCGCCCGCGGTGACGCCGGTGTCTACATCCGCCGCGTGCCCGGTTACGCTGAGAAGCTCTGGGATCACGCCTCGGGCGAATTGCTCGTCACTGCTGCAGGCGGCATTGTCACCGATCTCCACGGCAAGCCGCTCGACTGGACCCGCGGCCAGCGATTGTCTGAGAACCACGGCGTCCTAGCCTCTGCACCAGGCGTCCACGCCGCCTACATCGATGCCTGCCGCACCCTCGATCCGTCGCCGTAGTTACATGTCCGATGCAGTACGATCGCCCTCGCGCAACACGTGTCCGACTTCAGACGAATGTCTGTGGCTGTAAAATCAGCACCCGCGACAAGGCCGACGTCAGTCCGGGGTTGGTGGCGGGCGAGTGCAGGCGGTGCGGCCGTAGCCCTCGTGCGCCAACTCGGCACCACCACCACCACCACCACCACAGTCAGCCACACACATCCAACTCTGGCAGCATGGAGGAGGAGAGCCGACTGGCAAACCTGGCGCGTCTGCTCGGTGGTGAGCGGGTATCCCCTGCTGTTGTTCGCGGTCTTGGCTTCCATGGCCTTGACGTCGAGTCGGAGCTGGTGGTCGATGATGCCTATGTGCCGACCGGGGCGGAGGCGGGGGCGGGGACTGGGGCGGGGACTGGGGCTGGTGCTGACACAGGACATGAGGTCGCAGGTAGAGCTGGGGCTGGAGCTGGGGCTGAGACCGGAGCCGAGAACATGATCGATGGCGGTAGCAAGGGTACTACGGACGATGGCGGTGACCGAGTCGAGACTGAGACTGATGATGGCTCTGTGCTCTCGACAGACAGTGCCGGATTGTACGCCAAGTACGCTGGCCTGCGGCTGAGGGTCTGGCAGGTCGCGCTTGGTGTCCTGCCCGAGGAGACGGCGCGGTGGGGAGCAGCGGAAGACGAGGCAGCGCGGACGTATCGCGACTTTGTCGATCTGTTCACGCGCGAGGGCGAGTTTGTACGTGAGCGGGGGAGGGGGGGGGGGGGGGGGGGTATGGGGCATCGAGAGCGAGGCATCGAGGGCAGGAGAGGAAAGTGATAGGATGCGACTCACATGCTGCCCGTGCTACAGCCGCCCGCCGACAGCGAGAGCGAGGAGTTCACGGTCTACACCCAGATCAGGGCTGACGTGGAGCGGACGTGGCCCAAGGTCCCGTTTTTCCAGGTTGGCGACAGTGGGCTGGGCGAGGAGGAGGAGCGGTTCCACGACGAGTCGCTGACGCGCATCCTGTGGGTCTATGCCAAGCTCAACTCGGGCATCGCATACGTGCAAGGCATGAACGAGCTAGTGGCCATGCTCTTGTTTGTGGCGGCGGTTGATACGCCTGAAGGGGCGGCGTCGGCCCGGCCGATGGCCGAGCGTAGCGCGTCGCGTGCGACGGTGACCGCTGCCGAGCCGCGCGCCTTCTGGCTCTTTACCAACCTCATGTCCGAGATTAAGGAGCTCTTTGTCTCGCAGCTCGACTACTCGGACTCGGGCGTCATGGGCGCTATCAAGGCCATCGAGGCCGAGCTCCAGTGGTTCGACTTTGAGCTCTTTGAGCACCTGCAGAAGAATCACATTGACCCGCGGTTCTACGCCTTCCGCTGGCTCACACTGCTCCTCACCCAGGAATTCCCGTTCGCCACCAGCCTCCGGCTCTGGGACGCGCTCTTCTGCGACGGGCACCGCTTTGCCTTTCTTCGCCACTTTTGCGTCGCCATGCTCATCGCCATCCGCGCGCGGCTGCTGGACGCTGAGTTTGCAGCCATGGTCTCGCTCCTCCAGCACTACCCGCCCGAGGACGAGGTCCCGTTTGCGGTCCTCTTTGAGCTCGCTTGCTCCATCGCTGACCGCTCGTACCGCTCGCTCGCAACCTACGACAAGGTCTGCGAAGGGCCGCTCGACAGGCAAATGGGCACCGTCGAGTGGGTCCCGTTCTGGGCCGTCCTCGCCCTCGCACCGTCGCGAGACCGTGCCACCATCTTTCTGTACAAGGAAAAGTCCAAGACCGCCATCGACGAAGCCGTCGATCTCCGCGGTGCCACGCTCGAGTCGCTCACCGTCCGCCAACGCAACACGTCCAAGGGCGCTCGCCAGGCTTTTCGGCTCGCTACCACCCGTGGCAACCTCTACCTCGGCACTTTTAACCACCTTTCACCGCGTCTCGAGTGGATGGCCGCCTTTGCCCGTGTTCTCGACACCGTCACCGCCCTTGTCGACGCCCGCGACGCCAGCGCCGTCTTTGACATTTGCGCCTGGGACGCCACCTACGGCATTGCACCACCTCGCGTCGAGTCTGACCCGACCTCGCCGCTCGCAGACAGCCAGCTCGACGCATACTACGACGACCGCGCGCTGTGGGACGCCCAGCTCGCGCACTGGCCGCTCCGCGCCTCCGCTGCTGCGGCTGCGGCTGCCTCGGACGCTGCGCCTCGATAGCATGCCCTCACACAAACATCGCCAGCCATGCCTGCGTCCGTGCTGCCCACACTGCGCTAGGCGCCTTGTCGGCAGTCTGGGCCTCATCCCGCGCAAGCTGCGCCTCGGCTGGCGTCGGGAACGCCGCGAGCTCCGTGCCCGCGCCGCACGCCTCAGCCCGCGCCGCCACTCCGGCGACGGCGTCTGCCACCACATCAACCGCACCAAGCCTTGCTGCTGCACTCGCCAAAAACCGCACGTGCATCCAAAGCGATTCATGGCGAGGTGCGTCGTCGAGCCAGAGCCATGCGCGATCCAGTGCTGCCGCCAGCGTTGCCGTGTCAGCATCGTCGGCCAGCAGCTCATCGAGCAGATGCAGGGCCGACGTGTCATGGAACCGCCCATCAGCAACGTAGCCAGCGACCATCGCCATCGCGCTAGCACGCACTGCCAGGCCGCGGCAGACCCGCCTCGCGTGCGACCAGCAGTAGTAGTTGCGCGGGTAGAGATCGGCGTAAGTGAGGCAGGCGCCGAGCTCTGCCACCCGAGCATCATCGTCCTCAAGCAGCTCCTTCACCAGCCACCATCGATAGGCCCACGCTTCTGAGGACTTGGGATGCTTGCGGAAGACCATGTCCAGCACGTCCGTAACCTCGACGTCTCTCTTGAGCACGCCCGCCGAGATCAGCCTCCTCCGGACGTTCCACGCTGTTGCGTTGTCTGCATTGATCACAACAGCCACCATCGATGCGAGAACAGCATCATGGTCATCATCGACCCGCAATCGGCTCGCAGCGCCCTCAGCCAGCAGAGGAATGGTCCAGAACGGCAGCGTGAGGGTAGCCGTGCTCGAATCGATGGCAAAGAGCTGGTCAGCGGAGAGCGAGGCGAGCTCACCCGCGGGTAGAGGTGAGGTGTGGGCAAAGGCGAAGCTCTGTGGCTGCAACGTGGTCAGTGCGTGGGTAAAGGCGGTGTACACTGCATCGGTGGTGGCCATGTGGGTGGTGGCGGCGGTGGCGGTGGTGGCGCGAGTGGAGTGAGTGGCGGCCCGACCCGTTCGCGCACCCGAGCCAGCCCGCGCGATGATGGTGGGCTATGGGGGTGATAAGAGTTTGAAGGCGTTGCAAATCAGAGTGCGCTCGCTACAAGATGGCTGGGAGGACGGCCAGAAGCGCAGTGTGCAGGCTTGTGGCAGCGAAATAGGCCATGGGGGTGAGGACCCGCTGGCAGGCAAAGGCAGCGGTGGCGCGGGCGACGCGTGCAGGCGTGGCGATAAAGACCAGACTGGAGGTGTCGAGCACTGCTGCAGTGGCGGTGTAGCCTAGCGTGATGCCCTTGAGACTCAAGCTCGTGGCGGAGACCAATGCACTGGTGATCGGGCTCGGTAGTGCAGCACTGGCAAGGCGAGCAGCTGCGGTGAGCTTGGTCACCGCCGTGGCCGCGACAGGCGCAACAACCACTTCGGCGAGAGTGGCGTAGCCCGGAAGATAGCCTAGGATGCTGTGGAGATAAATCACGGCTCTGGTGACCGGATCAGCAAGCAGGTAGTACCCGATCGATGCGCCGAGAAAGACGTACAATGGGCCAAAGATGCCGTTCGAGGTGAGGACGCCGTAGATCGAGCAAAAGTGGCCGCCGTAGTACTGAGCAGGCGCATCAGCATTGTAGTAGGAGCAGAACCAGCAGTATTGGGTTCGGCAGACGCCGCACGTCATGTGTGAGCATCCCCCGTCTTTGTAGACCGGCGCCTTGCATCCGGGGCAGCGACGGGTCCACACTGCCTTCCACACATCCGACATCGATGGAAGAAGCCAGCTGGCGATCGCGGCGGCGTAGCGGACCGGGGCAAGGAGCTTGCCCGGTAGCGAGGCCTTGGAAACAGCAGTGTGCGCGGCTGCTAGCCGGCGGCCGAGGACAGCAAGCTCCGAGGCCAATATCGACTCTTCCGCGGCCGCGTGCCACGCATGGTACTGGGCGCGATCTTGCTCCGACAGCTGCGACAGCGCATATTCGCGGTCGAGCACCTGCGAGCACATCGGACACAGGAACTCGGAGTGAATGCCGAGCCGATGGATGGTCGCACTCAGCGAGAGCGAGAGGCACGGCTTGCAGCACTTGCAGGAATTCGACTCGGAGTGGCCTCCGATCTCCACCATGTCCTGCGGCTGGACTGCACCAGAGTAACAAATGTTGCAAATGTAGGATGCGGACGCGGTATCACAGCATGATACGCAGTGGCCACAGACAAAGCCACAATTGCCGCACTCGGTGTCCGTGATGGGGATCGCACAGTTGTCGCACAGCCTGGCAGCGTTTCCACAGCACTCGGAGCATCGCCCGCAGCTCGCATCGTCGCAAACCGTGCAGGCCCATGGATCTGTTCCGGCCAGCATACAGCGACACACCTCGCAACGTCCCTCAGTGCCGGTCGATGCTGATGATGCATCCGCCCCCGCCGACGACTTCAGCTCGTTAACGAGCGCGCTCAAGATCTGATACTCTCTCAGCGGGATCACCCCGGCCACAAGCCGATCCTGGTTGTTGTCAATGGAATCCGCAGCGTCGTGCTCAGTATGCTCGCCGGCAAGGAGCTCCTCGGCATCGAGTTCGACTGCGTCTCTGGTGTCTCCTGCGCCGTGGTTGTTTGCATCGATGCTTCGACCCGCGACAGGATCGATGCTTCGACCCGCGACAGGATCGATGCTTCCACCCGCGACAGGATCGATGCTTCCACCCGCGACAGGATCGATGCTTCCACCCGCGACAGGATCGATGCTTCCATTGCCAGCAGCATCATCTGGACGGACCTCCCCGTCAGCAGCCTCCACAGCAGTCGACGACAAGCTCTCCGTCTCTACCACCAACACATTGCTCTTCCAACCCTCAATGTCATCCATGTCGGCTTTCAGCTGGGAATGCCGCTTTGTCGGATGTGTGTGAGTAGGCAACGCGGACGAGTTGCGTGTTACGCCCGAAGCTGTTTCGACGCCTGCCGCCAATTCGGCCACGCACCCTGCCGCACATACTGCCACCCCCCCCCCCCCCCCCCACACACACACACATCGCATCCATCGAATCCATCGCATCTGTCGCACTTGTTGAGAGGATCATTGAGCATCGGCCGTACTTGACGTCTTTCTCCCCATGTCCGTCCACCCGGGAGATCACCCGCACTGCCACCACCACCACCACCACCGCCACCACCGCCACCACCGCCACCACCGCCACTGCCACTGCCAGTGCCATCGACCAACCACTCCTTCGGCATCCCCATAGCGCCATACTCCATCCGATCGGTGGCTATCCCCGTCCCGTCCCCTCGATCTCGATCTCCCTGGCAGAGACAGATCCCTTGACGGACTCTGCTCCTGCTCCCTGTCCCCAGACACATCACCACCTCCACCACCACCACCACCACCTTTCTCTCCCTCTCTCTCTCGTGATGGCTGTTGCTGCAGCACGGTGTGTGGTGGCTGCGGCTGCGGCCATGGGCCCTACACGCGGACGGGTGCGGTTGCGGTCGCCGACCGAGGTCATGGTGAGCAACGTCGAGGCAGCCAATGCCATGTCGCCGACCATGATGCTGGACTTTGCGGATGTGGTGACGGAGCTGGAAGGGTATGCCGAGGATGCCCAAGGTCTGGTTGATCCGCTCATTATCCGCGGAGATCCCAAGGGCCGCGTCTTTTGCGCTGGCGCAGACGTCAAGGCCTGCGCGCCGCTGCTGGCCGACGCCGACGGTCGGATGGCCATGGCCACACTGATGCACGACACGCTCTCGCGGCTGCATGCTCTTCCGCTGTTGGTGGTGGCTGCCATCGATGGCGGCGCCTTTGGCGGAGGTGCCGAGCTGGCCACTGCGGCCGATGTGAGGGTCCTCGCAGCCGACGCCCGCATTGTCTTTGTCCATGCCACCCGCGGGATGAGCCCGGGATGGGGCGGTGCCGCACGGCTCAAGCGCCTTCTTCCACCCGAAGCCGCCATGCGGCTCATCCTCACGGCAACGCCGATCACGCCTGACTCTCCGTGGGCGCCGTGGCTGGTCGACTGCGTGGCACAGGCTGACGATGCGTCGGCCGTCGACGCCGCCGCCTCGTGGCTGGCCGCCAACCCACAGCTCGCCGACGCCGGCGTTGTGGCCAAGTTTAAGAAGCTCTTTCGCGCCGAGGAGCTCGCGCGGGAGTTGGCGACTGAAGCCACAGTCTTTGCGTCGTAGTCGTTTACGCTGCCGTCTGCGGCGCCTTGGTCCTCCGGATCTTGTCCATGATGGCGTGCGAGAGCCGCATGCGCGCGGCCACGTCCTTGTGGGCAAAGGTGAGGGCGAGAATGTCCGAGCCGAGGTCCGGGTCGGCGAGAGCGACGGTGGCATAGCGGACGGCGCGCTTGAGGACGGCAACCGCAAAGCCCGGTACGGCATGCCCGCTCTTGGCGAGGTGGACAACTTGGTGCAGGAGTGCAAAGGCGTGCTTGCGGTGGCCGTGGCGGAGCGCAGCAGTGACAACTTGTGAGACCAGGAGCGAGGATGGCGGCGAGCCCGAGGCCAAAGCCCGCGAGAGGTACAGCTGCAGGATTTCGTCGGCCAGCTGTGGCGCGTTGCCAGTCTCGCGAAGGAGCCGTGTGAGGTACCAGATCTGCGCCTCGGCCGAGAGCGGGCCTGAGGCCGCAACCGACTTGACGACGTCGACGAGCCGGGTGGCTGCGGCTGCGGCGTCATCAACGGCGATGGCCAACCCGCCGCTGCCGGTCAACTTGGCGCAGCGCGGCAGCGAGTCAAGAGCGCTTAGAACCTTGGCACGTTCGTCCTCGTCAACGTGGTAGACGTCCAGCTCGTTGAGCTCGTCGAGCGCCTCGGGCGAGAACATAACCTCGGGCGAGAGGTTGAGCAAATGGAAGACGGGGCGGACCGCGCGCTGGACCAGTAGCGCGTCGGTCGCGGTCCCGATCGGGTCGGCCAGCCACGGCCGCTGCGCGCTTGCCTCGACCGAAAGCTGCTGCACCACCGCCGTTGCCGCGTCAGTCGCCGAGCAGCTTGCAAGAGCATAGACGATACCAGCGTTGGCGGCGGGGAGGCGGGCAATGTGCGCACCGCGAGCTTCGGCAGCCGCAGTTCGCATCTGCTCAAAGTGGCCGAGAACAAAGCCCGAGAGCCGATCCGGCGACCGAGCCTGGCTTGCTACAACCGACGCAAGAAGCGCGGCGCGGGCCGCGGGTGCGGCCGCAGCCTCGTCACTTTGCAGTAGCCGGTGCAGCAGCCCCTCCTGGTCGTTGTAGTGGGTAAAAGTACCGAGCGCCTCGAGCCGCGCAGCATGGAGTGCCACGTGAGCGGGTGAGTCGAGGGCGTCAGCAAGGTTCGAGCCACGGATTCGAGTCTCGAGCTTCTCAAAGGCGGCAACTTTGCGACCCTTGGTGTAGGTAGCGCGGACAAGCGCTTCATGGACGGCCGCATCAACGGGTGCAGTGTCGCCGACGTCGAGGACACGTGGGAGGCGGGCAGTAACGCCGTCACGGGCACAGGCACGGGCGTAGGCGAGCGCAACTTTGGGCGACGGCGACGCGCCGGCGTCGAGCAGCTGGTTGAGATGGGTCCCGAGCGTGCGTGCCGGCTCGGAGTGCGCACGAAGCGCAAAGAGCGCGGCCCATGCGGTGTCGGTCAGCGGGACTGCGAGCCGATCTAGCGCCCGGTACGTCTTCTCGGCGAGATCGCGGGCAGGGCCGGCAGCAGACGAAGCGCCCCGTACCGCTGCAGCCAGCTCGACGAGGACCAGCTCAACCGCCCGCGGTGACGGCACAATCAGCAGAGCGCCAGGCACGTCGTTGAGGAGGGTGGCGTGGACGCGGGCGAGGGCGTCGACGGTGGCGTCTGGGCTGAGCGCCCCGGCGCGACGGGCCGACGCCACCAGACTCACCACATGTGAGTGGATGTGCACGCCCTGGACCCGAGCATAGTTGGCAGCATCTGCCGCCGCCGCCAGCTCTGCTGACGGAGCCGATCGCATGCTCGAACTGCCCGACAGTACGGCATGAACCATGGTCTGCAGAGCCGGGCGGAGATGAGCCAGAGCAGACCACGCCGACTCGAGAGCGGCATCGGCGAGGTCGGCGACACCGTCCTGGGGCACTTTGGCCCACGCCCAGCTTCCAGCGCACTTGGCAAGGGCGGCGATGGTGACCCGCCCGAGCCTGATGGTCGCCAGCGGCGAGTCGGTGGCGCCGGACCTCGCCACGGCCGACTCGCCGACCGCTGCCATGGCCAACACATCCTCGGGCGAGACTGCAGCCTTGGCCATCCCATCTAGCTTTCGACCCAATCTCCGCGCTGCCGCTGCCACCCGTCGCCGCGTCGCACCGCCACCATGACTCTGGTGGTCTGTCGCGTCCCTCGTCGCCGCCGCTCGCCGCGCCCGCTGACGGGCCCGTCCGGCCTGCCACACCGAAGCCATAGAGGTGGCTCGAGCTAGGGATGACACATGTCTCTGTACGAGTGAGAGACCCGTGGAGAGGCGGAGCATGTGGGAGAGAGAGTGGAGTGGGTGGAGTGGGTGAGGGGAGGGAGGGGGAGCAATCGGTGGAGGTGGGGTGGGATAAAGGGGGGGGGGGGGGGGGTTATGGCCATGATGCGGTCTATGATGACCATGATGCGGTCTATGATGTCCATGATGCTGCCTATGATGGCCATGATGCGGCCTATGATGGCCATGATACTGCCCGCGATGGCCATGATACTGCCCGCGATGGCCATGATGCTAGCCATGAACGGCATTGGCCCATACAACTGCTTCTCAACCAAGCCCCCCCCTCAAGGTTGCTCTACGTGTTCAATCGTTCTCCACCGATATGCCCCTCCCCCTCCCTCCCTGGCCTTGGTCAGCAGACAAACGACGCGTCCCATCTTCGCCGTGACGACGACCAGCATGCCGACAGCGACCTCTGCCACCCCCCCCCCCCCCCCCCCTCCCTTCTCTCACCACTCAACTTTGTTGCAGGGCATAGTCAGTATGCTTGGCCTGGGAGTGACACGGAATGTTGTGCAGCATGCAGTGCGTGCGGGTGCGGTTGCTGGAGGCGCGGTGAGGTGGGCGACGGCGACGGCGGCTCGGGAAGGTACGGCGACCGAGCCCAAGCCGGTCTACCTCGACTACGCTGCAACGACACCGATGGACCCACGGGTGCTCGACGCCATGCTCCCGCACATGGTGGAGAACTTTGGCAACTCGGGCTCGCGGACTCATGCCTATGGCTGGGAGTCGGAGGATGCTGTGGAGGAGGCCCGGGCTTCGGTGGCTGAGCTCATCGGTGCCTCGCCCAAGGACATTGTGTTTACCTCGGGCGCTACCGAGTCGAACAACATCGCTGTCAAGGGCGTCCCGCGCTTCTACTCGCGCTCGAAGAAGCACGTCATCACCACTCAGATCGAGCACAAGTGCGTGCTCGACTCGTGCCGCGCCCTCGAGCGTGAGGGCTTTGACGTCACCTACCTCCCCGTCCAGACGAACGGCCTCATCGACATGGCCGAGCTCGAGGCATCCATCCGCGACGACACGGCTCTCATCTCCATCATGGCTGTGAACAACGAGATCGGCGTGACCCAGCCCATTGCCGACATCGGCGCCCTCGCCAAGTCGCGCAAGGTCTTCTTCCACACCGACGCTGCGCAGATGTTCGGCAAGATGCCCATCAACGTCGACGACATGAACATCGACCTGCTCTCCATCTCGAGCCACAAGATCTACGGGCCCAAGGGTGTGGGTGCACTGTACGTCCGCCGCCGCCCGCGTGTCCGCCTCGACCCGGTCTTCTCAGGCGGCGGACAGGAGCGCGGCATCCGCTCTGGCACCTCCCCACCGATCTGGTGGTCGGCCTCGGCGCGGCAGCCAAGGTGGCGTCCGAGGAGATGGCTTACGACTCGGCCCATGTGGCCGCGCTCTCGGAGCGGCTCACCCGCGGCATCCTCGATGCCATTCCCGAGGTCGAGATCAACGGCGACCCCGTGGCGCGGTACCCCGGCCTGATGAACTACTCGTTTGCCTACGTTGAGGGCGAGTCGCTCCTCATGGCGCTCAAGGACATCGCCATCTCGTCCGGCTCGGCGTGCACCTCGGCCTCGCTCGAGCCGTCGTACGTTCTCCGCTCGCTGCAGGTCTCGGAGGACCTTGCCCACTCCTCGCTCCGCGTCTCGCTCTCGCGCTTCTCCACTGTCGAGGAGGTCGACCACACCATCGCCCTCCTCAAGGGCGCCGTCGAGCGCCTCCGCGACATGTCGCCGCTGTGGGAGCTGGTCCAGGAGGGCGTCGACCTCTCGACCATCAAGTGGACCGCCGACCACTAAACTGATTCAGCCAGACAGACCACTGCTTGCTTGCCGCCGCCCAGTACATACGCAGTTGCGGTGAGTGCGGCTGCGGCTTGCGGGTGCGGTTTGGACCACTTCTCCCGCACCGGTTGTCAGCCATGAGCAACACGACCATTGGCTTGGTGGACCCCAAACTGGAGGTACGTAGGCACCCGTGGAGTAAAAGGCACTACATATTAAGGAAGTTACCGTGCCTTGGAGAGGCGGCATGTGTGGCTCTTTCCCTGTGCGTGGCTCCCCAAGTGTCTCCTCCTGTGCGTGTGTGTGTGTGTATGTATCCAGTTGCGGTGGATCAAATGCACGTTTGGCATTTGCTGCGACGTTTGTGACCAGTTGTCTTGACCAGATGGTGACTAGCTGGGCACTTGGCCTCGGCAGACTCACGGATACTAATGTCGTCCTGTGCTCTGGGTACCATGGTGTAGGACACGTCGGTGGCGGCGTTTATCTCGTCGTTGACGCTCAATGGTAGTGTGGCGGTGATCTGCCTCATTGCCTTCTCGGTGGTACGGAAAAAGTTCCCCACGGTGTATGATCCGCGGCGACGGCTCCTTGGCGTTGACCCCAACGTTTTGGCGGCCACGCCTCCGCTGACCGAATCGCTCTTTGGGTGGATCTTCCAGGTCCTGCGGATGGAAGACTCGGTCATGCTCGAGTCGGTCGGCCTCGACGGCGTGATGTACATCAAGTTTTTGGAGACGGCGACCAAGTTCTTCTGCGCAGCGTGCGTGGTCGGGCTCGGCATTCTCATGCCGATCAACTTTTCGGCTGACCCGCCCGAGGACAAAAAGCAGCAGGGCCTGGACAAGGCGTCGATGGCCAACGTCGATCCGAACCAGAAGAACCTGCTGTGGGCGCACACGCTTGCGGTTTGGTTCTTCACGCTCCTGCTCTTCTACTTTCTCAACAAGATGTACAAGTTCTACTACGCGCAGCGGATCAAGTTTCTGGTGGCACGGCGACCTGAGTGGTACTCTGTGCTGGTGCAAGATGTGCCCGAGAACAAGCGCGATGCAGCGAGTCTCGAGGCCTTCTTCCGCAAGCGGTACGGCGACGAGGTGTACTCGGTCATGATGGCACACGAGACGACCGCACTCGACAAGCTGGTGAAGGAGCGCGAAGAGGTGGTGCGCAAGCTCGAGAACGCGCACTTTACCCACCTCAAAAAGGAGGAGCGGCCACAGCACCGCCAGATGGGTGGGATTCTGGGTAAGATCTGCTGCTGCTGCGGCTCCAAGGTCGACTCGATTGATTACTACACCGAGGAGCTGGAGCGGCTGAACGCAGAGATTTTGGAGGAGCAGGCTGCCGAGCACAAGGTTACGCCTTCAGGCTTTGTTTCGTTCCGATCGCTGTCTGCGGCGGTGTCTGCGGTGCAAACGCTGCAGACGGAGGACCCGATGCACTGGACACTGGAGCGCGCACCCGCGCCCATCGACGTCTACTGGCCCAGCCTGGGTATGGACGGGCGGAAGCGCAAGGCGCAGGGCCTGATCATTTCGGTCCTCGTCTTTTTCCTGGTGGTCTTTTGGGCCATTCCGGTGTCTGCGCTGGCGGTGATGGCCAACTTTAACAAGTTGGCCGAGACGTTCCCGGTCCTCGAGCCGGTCATCACGTTTAGCCCTGCGCTCATTGGGTTTGTGCAGGCGCTTGTGCCGACGATCCTGCTGTTGGTCTTTATGAGCTTGCTGCCAAAGATTCTGTTGACGTTCGGCAAGAAGGAGGGCATCGCGTCCAACGCCGAGCTGCAAAAGTCGGTCATGATCCGGTTCTTCACCTTTCAGCTCTTCAATGTGCTCCTTGTGGTGACGCTCGCTGGCTCGTTCCTTGGCGTGGCGTCTGAGCTCGCCGAGGGCCCATTCACGGTCATCTCGCTGCTGGGGTCGTCGATTCCGGCCGTGGCCAACTTTTACGTGGCGTACGTGCTGCTCCAAGCACTGTCGGGCTTCCCACTTGAGCTGCTGCGGCCTGTGCCACTCATTCTCGGCGAGCTGAAGCGGCGACGGGCACTGACGGCGTACCAGGAGCGGTCTGCGTGGCACCCTGGTGAGCTTTTCTACGGCGGCGAGATTGCGAAGCATCTTGTTGTCTTCTACATTGGGATCATTTTCTCGTTTATCGCGCCTGTGGTCCTCCCCGTCACGGCACTGTACTTTGGGCTCGGTCTACTCGTGCGTCGCCATCATGTGGCTTACGTGTATGTGGCGCCGTTCGAGGCCGGCGGCTCGTTCTGGCCGCGGATGTTCAACCGGATTCTTGCGGGCGCGGTCATGTCGCAGCTGACGGCAATGGGCATCCTCTCCATCAAGGAGTCGCCGCTCGGCTCGCTCATCATCCCGCTCCCGATCATGACGCTCATCTTTGCGCGGTACGCGCGGCGGGCGTATGAAACGCCGACCCAATTTGCGCCGCTCGGCATCACAGCTGACGTCGACAACGGAATCGATGCGGTCTCGGAGTCGACTGGGCTCGTTGTGGCTACCCCCGACCGGACCAAGGACCTGCTTGACTTTACGTTCCTGGACAACCAGTACGTGCAGCCGTCGGTCAACGCGCCTCCAGTGCCACCGTCGATCATCGGCGACGAGGCTGCTGTCGACGAGCTCCTCAAACCACACTTTGGGTGCAGGACGGCGGCGAAGGCGGCGCTGGCGCAAGCGATGGCGCAGGCAGCGTTGCGGCCGATGCTGGCGCGCCACCTCGTACCACCGGTGCGGGCAACGCGAACCACATCACTCTCGACAGGTCGGCGCCGGTGGTCGTTGCAGAGTCGTCGAGCTCGGGCGAGTCGGTCTCGTCCACGTCGTCGTCTTCGGTGGCGTCGTGAGCAGCGCTTACTCGAGCGGGATCTCGCCGCGAAAGACGGCGTCGGCGATCTCGGCATATCGCTTGGAGGTAAATGAATATGCTGGGGCATTGGATGGCTTGCTGGGGTAAAATGCACCGGGGCCGGGGCCGACAGTCTCGCGACGATCTGGATGACGGGAACGGATAGATGGTGCATTCGCCTGGTTCTTGCCGATGTCCGAGTCGACCATGTACTTGGGGCCGGGCGATGAGTCGGACTCCTTTTGGCGATGACGGGACCGCATCGAAGCCGCGGGCGCATTGCCGATGGATGACGGGATGTTGTACGCCGGGCCGGGTGATCCGTCCTCGTACTTGACAGGGTGACGGGAACGGATAGATGGTGCATTCGCCTTGTTCTTGCCGATGTCCGAGTCCACCATGTACTTGGGGCCGGGGGACGAATCGCTTTCCTTTTGGCGATGACGGGACCGGATCGAAGCCGCAGGCGCATTGCCAATCGACGATGGGATGTTGTACGCCGGGCCGGGCGATCCGTCCTCGTACTTGACAGGGTGACGGGAGCGGATAGATGGTGCATTCGCCTTGTTCTTGCCGATGTCCGAGTCGACCATGTACTTGGGGCCAGGCGATGAGTCGGACTCCTTTTGGCGATGACGGGACCGCATCGAAGCCGCAGGCGCATTGCCAATCGACGACGGGATGTTGTACGCCGGGCCGGGCGATCCGTCCTCGTACTTGACAGGGTGACGGGAGCGGATAGATGGTGCATTCGCCTTGTTCTTGCCGATGTCCGAGTCGACCATGTACTTGGGGCCAGGCGATGAGTCGGACTCCTTTTGGCGATGACGGGACCGCATCGAAGCCGCAGGCGCATTGCCAATCGACGACGGGATGTTGTACGCCGGGCCGGGCGATCCGTCCTCGTACTTGACAGGGTGACGGGAACGAATAGATGGTGCATTCGCCTTGTTCTTGCCGATGTCCGAGTCGACCATGTACTTGGGGCCGGGCGATGAGTCGGACTCCTTTTGGCGATGACGGGACCGGATCGAAGCCGCGGGCGCATTGCCGATGGATGACGGGATGTTGTACGCCGGGCCGGGTGATCCGTCCTCGTACTTGACAGGGTGACGTGACCTGATGGACGGTGCGGTGTCCCTATTTTTGCCAATCGAGGACTCCACCATGTACTTGGGGCCGGGGGACGAGTCACTCTCCTTTTGGCGATGACGGGACCGCATCGAGGCTGCCGGGGCGTCGCCAATCGACGACCGGATGTTGTACGCCGGGCCGGGCGATCCGTCCTCGTACTTGACAGGGTGACGTGACCTGATGGACGGTGCGGTGTCCTTGTTCTTGCCAATCGAGGACTCCACCATGTACTTGGGGCCGGGGGACGAGTCACTCTCCTTTTGGCGATGACGGGACCGCATCGAAGCCGCAGGCGCATTGCCAATCGACGACGGGATGTTGTACGCCGGGCCGGGTGATCCGTCCTCGTACTTGACAGGGTGACGGGAACGGATAGATGGTGCATTCGCCTTGTTCTTACCAATCGAGGACTCCACCATGTACTTGGGGCCGGGGGACGAGTCACTCTCCTTTTGGCGATGACGGGACCGCATCGAGGCTGCCGGGGCGTCGCCAATCGACGACGGGATGTTGTACGCCGGGCCGGGTGATCCGTCCTCGTACTTGACAGGGTGACGTGACCTGATGGACGGTGCGGTGTCCTTGTTCTTGCCAATCGAGGACTCCACCATGTACTTGGGGCCGGGGGACGAGTCACTCACCTTTTGGCGATGACGGGACCGCATCGAAGCCGCAGGCGCATTGCCAATCGACGACGGGATGTTGTACGCCGGGCCGGGCGATCCGTCCTCGTACTTGACAGGGTGACGGGAACGGATAGATGGTGCGGTGTCCCTATTTTTGCCAATCGACGACTCCACCATGTACTTGGGGCCAGGCGATGAGTCGGACTCCTTTTGGCGATGACGGGACCGCATCGAGGCTGCCGGGGCGTCGCCAATCGACGACCGGATGTTGTACGCCGGGCCAGGTGATCCGTCGTCGTACTTGACAGGGTGACGTGACCTGATAGATGGTGCGGTGTCCTTGTTCTTGCCAATCGACGACTCGAGCATGTACTTGGGGCCGGGGGACGAGTCGCTTTCCTTTTGGCGATGACGGGACCGGATCGAAGCCGCAGGCGCCTTGCCAATCGACGACGGGATGTTGTACGCCGGGCCGGGTGATCCGTCCTCGTACTTGACAGGGTGGCGGGAACGGATAGATGGTGCGGTGTCCTTGTTCTTGCCAATCGACGACCCCACCATGTACTTGGGGCCAGGCGATGAGTCGGACTCCTTGACCCGATGCCGAGACCGGATGGATGCAGCAGGCGCCTTGCCGATGGTAGTAGGGACCGAGTAGTATGGAGCGTTGACAGCAGCCGGACGATCAACCTTGCGCCCCCTCAGCGCCGGCCCCTCGCGGGTACCAAACTCGGACGGACGGGCGTAGGCTGCGGGGCCTGGGCCGACTGTGGCCTTGGCACCGAACCTCTGCGGGAAGAGAGCCTTCATGGTGTACGCCCTGGCTGGAAGACCCTTGATGTTCGGCAGCTTACTCATACTGCCGCCCGCTCTACTTGCTCTGCACCGGCGAAACAAGTGTCCTGGTCAAGGTATGGGTATGGCCGTTTGACGCACACCTCGTCTGCTCTGCCCTCCCTCCCGCAGCTGTCACTGGCCAAGTACGTTGGCAAGGTACGTTGGTGCCAGATTGGCCAATGTCCCGGCGGAGTTTGACTCTACGCCGATACGAAAAATTGTATCGCTCTCGTCCTTGCCGTGCACACAGCCATACGGTTTACGAGTCACCACCGCCGCCGCCACCACCGCCATCGCCGCCTTTGTCGCCGCCTCCACCGCCACGGCGTCCATTGCGCCAATTACGATGACGGCTGCCGCGTCCTCTGCGCCCACCGCGCCCACCGCGCCCGCCGCGCCCTCCGCGCCCTCCGCGCCCTCCTTCGCCTCGGGAGCGATTCTTCGTACCCTGGCCCTGGCTCGATGCTTTCTGTCGGCCGCGTTTTGCGCCGTCGTTTGCACCACGGCCGCGCCGACCTCCGCGGCCACGATTGCCATCATTGTTGGTCTTGGTCGATCTGTTCTGTCCGTTGCCTTGCTGGCTGCGGCCCTTGCCACCCGACCGGCCTTTGCGGCCACCGCCGCCGTTCCCGCGGCCACCAAAAGCAGGCACCGGCGGCTTGACAACTTCGATGGCACCTTTGGTGTCGATGACAGCGGCAAAGGTGCCTCCACCGGCGAGCAGCTCATGCGCGCGGAGAAACTCGCTTTGGATATGGTCCGAGGACTCCGGGCGGAGAACGCGACCGAGGTTGTGGGTGGGGATGAAAGGATCCTCGATCTCGAGCATGGCAGTCTTGGGCGCAACAAACTTAATCTTCTCACCGCCGCGCTTGGTCTTGCCCCATGCTTTGACCGCCTTGGGCATTGGCGTCCCGAGCCGGATGCACACCACGTACTTGGCCGAGTCAAAGACGTGCCCGTAGTAGTGAAAGAAACCAAGAAGGAGCTCGGCGAGCCGCGGGTGCTCGGCAGCGGGTGTATCAGGTGCCTCACCAAAGTAGATGTTGTTGCCCTCAAACGGGAGCGTGTGGTTGAGCACGTCAGCGAGGGCGATGGCGCCGTTAGGCCCGGTCCCGGTTGGGACTTGCCGCGGCTGCAGCACACCACGGATCTGTAGGTAGAAGATGACGAGAATGACGTACGCGTACGAGGAGAGCGAGCCTGCCGACGGCTCGTTGATGTTGCGGGCCTTGGACCAAATCTTGACCGCAAGCGCCAGCTGCCTGGCAACAGGTGCGTCGTCCATGTACTCGGCAAGCAGCTGCGAGTTGAAGACCGGGAGCAGGTTGTTGATCGAGACGTCGAGGTCGAGCGCAGGCTGGTGGCCGAAAGAGGCCTTGACGATGGGAACTTTAGCGCCGCCGATGAACAAGACGTCATGGAGGCCATGCTTGCGCTTCATGAACTGGTTGCGGATTTTCTTGAGCAGGGCACCAGCCTTGGTCCGCGTCCCCGACAGATGTTGTGGGACCTCTAGCGCCACGTCGAGGTCGGCCATACCCAGCGCCAGTCCGTTGGATGATGAGCCAAAGACGTGGAGACGGACACATGGTTCGGGCCCGCTTGCTCCGTGTTGCGACTCGTCCGACGCCAGGATGCATGACCCGCTGTAGCTCCGCGACATCAGGCCGTCCAGGATGTTGACCACCACGCCGAGCGCCGCCGTCTGTACCTTCCGCATCTTGGTCGTCGGTTCTTTGCTCTGCAGCTTGCGGCGGATCTCATGCTCCACGTTGGCCGCCCATCCGCCACTAGGCAACACCAGCTGAGGCCCATTGTCCATCATTGGCACCCATTCGCTGTCACTTACGTTGACGCCCGGCCAAGGCGCGAGGAACCGAATCCGCTCGTCCATCACCGGCTCCGGCTCCGGCTCGGCCTCGGTCTCGTCCTCGTCCTTTTTCTTCTTCTTCCTACGATTGCGCTTCTTCTTCTTCTTCTTGGGCTGTTCCGCGGGCTCGAGCGGAAGGATCATGGGCGTGCCAACATGAAGCTTGACAAAGTGCACCGCCGCCGACCGCACGTCGCCCGCCATGACCATGACCATCTCTGCACCATCGTCATCATCATCATCGTCATCATCACCATCGTCATCGTCATCGTTTTCATCATTGTTCCCGTCCTCGTCCACGTCGTCACCATAATTGTCATCCGCATCATCGCCAGCAACCACAGAAGGTCCGTGTGTCGCACCGGCTCCATCCGCTTCATCCGCTTCATCCGCTCCATCAACTCCATCAACTCCATCGGCACCGTCCGGACTATTGGATGCGCCTGGACCGTCAGCATCAAGCCAGACGCGCTCGAACAAAGCTCTGCGCAGGCGGGAGGAGAGCTTCTCACCGCAACCGAGGGCAGTGCCTGGAAGGTGGTGTGTGTCCCCGGACGAGGGGTGGAGGAAGGCGTCGTACACAGCGCGTGCGCCTGGGATACTCATTCCTGGTGGTGGTGGTGGGGGGGGGGGGGGTCGGGTGTGGTCACCGCCGTCAGCGTGGTCAGACGGACTTGACGAGTTGGCGCCGAAGGGAGGGAGGTGCCTGGCGGGCGTGACGGTCGGTCGGATGGGTATGGGCTGGACGATGAGGGGTTTGGAACGAGTTGAGCCAGATCAAGAGCTGAGGGGAGATGATGAAGATGATGATGAAGAGGTGGATGATGATAATGTGTGCGTGTGATGTATGTGGGGAATCTAGGGTGAGGATCGGATCGGATGGGGGGGGGGGGGGGGGGGGGGCGATGAGCAGGCACTAACACAGCGATGGTCCATCTGACCTGGCGCACACCATCCCCATACATCCACCCAGCCAAGTACAACAGACATGACCATACCAATCTCCTCATATGGTCTCTGAGTTAGCCGTAGCCGCACACACCCATCGCCATCACATCCCATTCCGTCGCACCGTCCGCCCCTTCAACTGTCTGCCCACCGGCAACGGACCACGCAGCCCAGGCACGGCAAGGCCACCGCATCATTGCCACCACCATCCAACTCCGCCCAACCTCATCCCCTCTTAGCCAGGCACGACAGCGGCAACAACGACGACCAATGCCCCGTGTGGCACCCCGGACAGTGCGACGTGCGCAGCAGGCTGGGCGTGGTGGTGGTGGTGGTGGTGGGTCGAGGCGAGCGAGTCAGACTGGCGGCCGCGGGGGTGATGCTCTTGAGGCTGCGCGCAAGGCCAAGCGACGGCGAATGCGGACAAACACGGCTGCAAACGGAGGTATGCTGACACGCAAGTATGGATCTCCTGCGGCTGCTCGCATTGCCACGCTCCTGGCAACCATGGACGATAACGAGAAGGCCAGGTCCAAGGCCAGCCGCTCGTCATCGCAGCGCGCGGCGGGCAAGAAGAGCAAGTCGGCTCGCAAGGGCAAGGGCAAGGGCAAGGGCAAGGGCAGGACGTTGCGAGCTTCAAGGCAGAGGCGGCGATCGCGCCACAACTCGGACGAATCTTATCAGTTTGTCGAGTACGACGTAACGCTCAAGGCGGGCTCGTCGTCGTCGTCGTCGTCATCGTCCTCATCCCCGTCGGCCACGCTCTCCTCGGACGATGACAGGACAATAGACTTTGAGGACTCGCAGCCAGAGCTTGCAGTGCGAGCCGGCGTGACGAAGAAAAAGCGGCGGAAGCGGCGGAGAAGTGGCGGTTCCGGCCGGCGCCGACGGCGGGGTGCACGAAGCGGCAAGCGTGTGACACTCAAGTCAGCGTCGCGAACCGCAACCGCGTCTGCCAGTGGCGCCGGGTCGGACGAGGCTAGCGATGAGTCACCAGCAGGCGGTAGTGCAGCGGTGGGCCTCTCGCGCTGGCAGCGGGCCAAGCGGCGGGTGTTCGGACGAGGCAAGGCGACTGACGCCGACTCGTCGAGTAGAAGCGCGACAGCGAGCACAACCACCTCGCTGGCAGCGTCATCGTCGCATCATCCGCCTCCACCACGTCGCGAGCGGGCCGAGCCACGGCCGCGACGGACAAGTCGACGCGGGCATGGTGGCGTGCGTGTGCGGCACAGCCGGCGGCATCGGCATCGGCACTCACGCCGGCGGGCATGAATACGGCACAAGAAATACAATGAAAGCGATGGTGTGGTCTGTGTGTGTTCATTCGCTCTCCTCGCCGTCGTCCTCGCTGCTCTCGTCATAGTCGCTGACAGCGGCGGCGGCGGCCTCTGCAGCGGCCTCCTCGGCATCCATGCGGGCGATCTGGGCCCTGTAGTTGGCCTTTGAAATGGCGCGATGCTCACGGTTGGTAAGCGGCTCCTTGCCGGCGATGAGACGGACCTCGTTTGTGGTGTAGAGGTCCATGCCGCCAAAGCGATCGTCGAGGACGCGCTCGAACATCTCGTTGTAGATGGCGAGCGACTTTGCGAGCTGTGTGGCGGTCTTCTGCCAGCGGTTGAGGCGCATGTCGCGAGCCATCTTGGCGACGTCATCGCCATGCTTCTTGACAAAGGCATGCATGTCACGGAACTGCTGTGCCGAGAGCGAGCGGAAGCGGAGCGGCTTCTTCCGCTTGGCCTGCTTCTCCAGCTCTGCCACAATGTTGAGGTCCTGCAGCTTCTGACCAGGCTGAAGGGTAATGGTAGTGACACCATCTGACGACGCTGCGGCAGCCTGACGACTCTTCTTCCGATCGGCCTTGGACTGAGAGCTGTTGATGGCAATGTTCGTCGCCCGCACCAGACCGAGGTTCTTGTAGTTCTCCGTCACCGTCTTGTCCGAGTCCCACTTGCTCCGCACAATGGCATTGTTCACAAACACCTTGTCCTTCCGCTTGTTCCGACGAGAGACCTTGCCCGCATGCGACCGACGCGGCCGTGCCACAGACCGTGCCATTCTGCTTTTGTCTTGCTTTTGCTGCGTGAGGTGTGTTGGTCTTCGTCCCTAACTCCGTCCCCGCCCCCCCCTCCCTCCCCGTGCCTGGTCACCCGGTGATGGATGGCTTCTCGGATGGATGGCCTGTTGCCAATGACCAAATGGTGGACAGGGGAGGGGGGGGATGGTCTCGACATGGATGGAGTGGTTGGGAGGGGGTGATGATGATGGTGGTTGGGAGGGTGTGATGATGGTTGGGAGGGTGTGATGATGATGATGGTTGGGAGGGTGTGATGATGATGGTGGTTGGGAGGGTGTGATGATGGTTGGGAGGGTGTGATGATGATGATGGTGGTGGTTGGGAGGGCGATGATGGTGGTGGTGGTTGGGAGGGGGTGATGATGATGGTGGTTGGGAGGGTGTGATGATGGTTGGGAGGGTGTGATGATGATGATGGTTGGGAGGGTGTGATGATGATGGTGGTTGGGAGGGGGTGATGATGATGGTGGTTGGGAGGGCGATGATGGTGGTGGTTGGGAGGGCGATGATGGTGGTGGTGGTTGGGAGGGGGTGATGATGATGGTGGTTGGGAGGGGGATGATGCTGGTTGGGAGAGTGTGATGATGATGGTGGTTGGGAGGGGGATGATGCTGGTTGGGAGGGGGTTGATGGTGGTTGGGAGGGGGATGATGGTGGTCGGACGGGTGATGGCCATCAGCTGAATGATAGTGATCAGCTGGATGCCAGCCAGCAACAAGACAGAGTATTGAGGTTGCGCTGGGTGATCGGCTGCGTGGTGGTGATCAGCAGGTGGTGGGTGACCAACTAACCTGCGTCGTCAGCCAGACAACAGTCCCCGACTCAGGTCCTGGCACCGCACTCGCATCATTCCCCATCATGGGCATTCTCTCCACGCTCGGATACGCTGCTGCCGTCGACTTTGCCTTCCAATGGATTGCGTTCTCTGTTGCGGCTGTGCTCCAGACCGAGGTCTTCTACGACGCTGTTGGGACGTCGACCTTTGTGACCCTGGCGTGTCTGGCGGTGATGCGATGGTGCGGGGCTGACGAGATCGAGGCCGGAAACGGCGTTACAGCGGGCGCGACCATCACGCCTGAGGCACCAATGCGCATGGTGGTGGCGACGTGTGCGGTGGTGGTCTGGGGCGTCAGGCTGGGATCGTACCTCGTGCGGCGCATCGCGCAGGACAAGCACGACTCGCGGTTCGACAAGGTCCGCGATCGCCCGCTCCGCTTCTTTGTCTACTGGACGCTGCAGGGTGTGTGGGTCTTTGTCACTCTTCTGCCGATCCTTATCCTGGCTGGCATGCCGCTTGCGGTCTCGGGCCTCCCGCTGGGCATGCTGGATGTCTTCGGCCTGGTCGTCTACGGCATCGGTCTGGCTCTGGAGGCTGTGGCCGACACCCAGAAGGCGGCCTTCCGCGCTAATCCGGACAACAAGGGCAAGTTTATCAACGTTGGTCTGTGGGCTATCTCCCGCCACCCCAACTACTTTGGCGAAATCCTGGTATGGACCGGGATCTGGCTTCTGGCGCTCACCAGCCTGATGTCGTACTCGCCGGTTGTAGCCGCTGTCTCTGCCATCTCGCCGGCCTTTGTCGCCCACCTCCTCATCAACATGTCTGGCATCCCGCTCCTTGAGCGTGCCGCCGACAAAAAGTGGGGTGACGATGCCGACTACAAGGCGTACAAGGCCGGCACCGCTGTCCTTGTCCCGTATCTGTGGTAGACCCTCCCCCGCCCTTGTCGCCCGCTCCCACCGCCCTTGTCGCCCGCTCCCACCACCACCATCGCCATCACCATCCCCTCTGCTCGCCGCCGGCTGCAGCCAAGCAGACGGAGCGCAGGCCGATGATCAAGACAAACCGTGCATGATGCCCATGGCCGTCATGACCAATCCGTGCCCTACTGTGGTGTCGTGTAGTGCCATATGGATTGGTGTTTGTGTGTGTGTGTGTGTGTGTGTGTGTGTGTGTGTGTGTGTGTGTGTGTGTGTGTGTGTGTGATGACATGGTCGCATCGTGATGGATGTGCAATGTAACTAGATGGTGGCCACATGAGCCGGCTATCACCGCTCGTAGCAAACGTCCGCCGCCAGCCGGAGTGACCACTCCCCATCCATCACCATCACCATCTGCCCTCCTCCCCCCGTCCCACACCCCTCCCCACACATCCCCAACCCACCCACACCCACACACCCACACATACCCACACACCCGCACACCTAAACCCATACCCCACACACCCTCGCCCATCATGAAGGTCATCTCGTCGTCCGAACTGAAGAAGATCCTCACTATGAGCTACACCACGGTGCCGGACAAGTTTGCTCTGGTCGCCTCCATCTCGGCTGGACAGACCTCGGTGGCCATGCCCGGCCTCACCAACTACCTCCTCAATTGGGCTGTGACTGGCTTGGCAAAGTCATGCAAAGCGGCGCGGAAGAAAAAAGTGACTTCGCCTGAAAAACTAGGAAAGTCGCTCGTCCTTGACCCTTCGGCCTGGCAAGTCATCACCATCCTTGCCCGCAAGGCTCTTGCCGATCCTTCAGCTGCTCCGGCTGCTCTCGACGAGCTCTGCCGCTCGGCGCTCTGGGTCATGTCCTTTGTCCTGCAGCTTGCTGGGCCCTCGTGGGTCCCGCGCCTCCGCCCGCTTGCGGACCTCCTTGCCTCGCAGGCCATGCCGCTTGATCGCCGCTTTGAGGTTATCTCGGGCCTCGCCACCGTCGTCGCCAACCATCCTGCTGATGCTCCGGCGGCTGACTGGCTCGCCTCTGCCATCGAGCGGACTGCTTCGGTTGCTGCCGAGTACAACGTCCAGCGCAAGGTCTTCGTCGCCGTTGTCGAACTCCTGCCCAAGCTCGTCGACGTTGTCGTCGCCGCAACCTCGCGCCCGCACCTCATCGCCGCCATCCGCACTCTCCTCCGCATAGCCCTCTTCCACCACGACCACCTGCCGGACTTCCAGCTCGCGTTCACCAATCCGCCATCCATTCTCAGCACCGAGTCGTCCGGCTCCAAGCGCAAGGCCCGCTCCGCTGACACCGACGCCAACGGGAACGACGACGCCAAGCCGACTGCGCCCAAGCGCCGCCGCGGCGCCAGCGCCCGCGTCTATGAGGGCGACGACAAGACCTCGTTCCAGCGCGAGCTCTTTGCCGTCCTCTCCAAGCTCCTCGCTGCCGATGCCACCCGGTCCGCCGCCCTCGAGCTCTGCACCTGGTTTATGTCCGACTACGCCCTTGCTCTCCTCCTCGAGTACTCGCACGGCTCGTCACGCGGACTCTCCACCTCGACTGCCCTCAGCCGTTTCTCGTCCAAGGTCAAGGTCTCGGCCGCCATGGCCGATCCCATCGCCGCCGCGTCGGCCGCCGTCGCCTCGTCGGCCCGCGCCTCGGTCGCCGCCGCCGCCGCGTCGGCCGCCGCCGTCGCCGATCCGGCCAACGCCGGCGTCCCCATCGCCGCCCTCATCGCCATGGTCCAGCCCAAGCAGCGGGTCTCCATCCGCAAGGCACACTTTTCGTTCCTCAGCGAGCTCCTGCACGCCATTGCTGTCTCGACTCCGGCTGACCACCCCAAGCTCTGGCCCACCGTCGTCGCCATCCTCGCCACTCTCGTCGACTACGACATCTACTCGCGCGTCTCCATCACCCGCACTACCCAGACCAAGTTCATGGCGTCCGTCGTCGAGTACGCCGCAGCCGCCGTCACCCGCGCGCCGTCGTCGGACGATGCCTCCGGCCCCTTTGCTGTTCTTGCCCTCCTCCTCGACGTCTCGTACTCGCTCGTCGAGCCGGCCATCCCCACCGCGCTTCCCATCGCATGCGCCGACCTTGCCGTCCTCGACGCCTCTGCGCCGCAGATCCGCTTCCTTCTCGGCGTTCTCGGCGTCTACGCCGGTCTCTCGCAGCTCCCGTCCTTTATCGAGTACGTTGCTGCTGCGCTCGCCGCCGCTACGACGAGCTCGTCGTCGAGCTCGGCCCGTCAGGCGCCGCCGACCTACACCGGATGGAAAACGGTGCTCGGCGAGTTCCAGTCGGCCACCACCAAGCTGGTCATTGGCTCGCACCTCATGTCGATCTGGTCGGCGCTTGAGACCGCACTTGACGCCGCCGCCGACGCGCCGACGCCTGCCCCGTTCTGCACCCTCGCCTCGCTCGCCGCCGCCTTCATCACCGGCATCCGCATGACTGGCCCGCGGGTGAACAAGGTCGCCGACCTTGCGCGCACCTTTGCCACCTCTGTTCTCCGCCCGCACCTGGTCGCCTCGGGCTGCTCGGCTACCGAGGCCCGTGCTGCTGCCGCCGCCTCGGTCTACGCCGCCATCCGCGGCCTCCTCCGCCGTGCCCGCGACGCCACCCGCGCCGCCTTTGACGCCGTCTCTCTCGACAATGACCTTGTCTGGCTCGCTCCGTGGATGGAGGCATCCGTTGCCGCTACCACACCGGGCAAGCTGCCGTTTGCCGCCGCCGCTGGCAGCATCAACCCGTACGCCACCTACCTTCTCGCCCGCGTCGAGATTGCTCACATCATGAGCCTCCACGACGCCTACACGCTGGCCGTCAACTCGGTCGGGACCATCATGACCCACACCACCATCGCCGAGAACGACGCCAGTACCGACGCTGCCGCCGTAGACGTCGAGAAGGCTTCGGACGCCCTTGCCGCCGCTATCAACCGCATCGACCTGCCAAGCCTCAAGGCCGAGCTTACCGCGGCTGTCGCCCGAGTCGCCTCCGTCGTGCCGCGTCTCGACGCTGCTGCTGTGAGCAGCTACGGAGTCTGGCACGGCTGCGAGCTTGCGCTCCTGAGCGACGACGGAGCGAGCAAGGCGTCGACGTCGACGGTCCTCATTGTCGGCATCTGGCAGCTCATCACCTCGCACATCGACATTCTCTCGGTCTACGCCTCAGACGCACTTTTGCTCCAGTGGGCCGAGAGTCTGCTGCACGGGGGAGCTGCAGACGCGGGTGCCGCGGCCGATGGCGGCGTCACCGTCGCGTCCATCTCGCGCGCGCTCCTCGCTCACGAGGGCCTGGCGGAGATCCGGCCGCTGCGCGCGCCCATGGCTGCTGCCTTTGTGGCGGCGGTCTCCTCAGCCGGTGGACACCCCGCGGCACGGGCTCTGGCCAAGGCCACGGCCAAGGTTGGATCGTCCAAGTTTGTGGCCACCGTCAAGCGGGCGATGGATGCAACGGCGGATGTCGCCAAGCTGCCGGCCGTGACCTCGGCCATGCTTGCCATTGCTGCTGCCTGGCCGGCCCGCTATCTCTCAAGTAGTCTGGCCGGTGCGCCTGGTGCAGACGAGTGGCTTGCCATTCTGGCTTCGCTCCTGCCTGCGGCGACGGAGGCGGGCGCCGCAGCGACGCTCACGGTCCTCATCGATCAACTGGCGTCGCCGTCGGCCGAGCTGACAGCTGTCCTGACGCCCGAGACCGTGGCCAGCCTCCCAGCGGCGACCTGGATGCATCTGCTCCCGGTCTTGGCGAAGGCAGCGGTGGCGGAGATGGTGGCGACGGAAGGGTCACAGCCGGGCCGGCCCACACTCCACCCGTGGCTGGCGAGCCTTGTGGCAAGCGACGGCCCCGTGGCCGCTGCCGCGGCGGAGCCAGAGTTTGTGGCTGCCGCTGTGGCGAGCTTGTGCTCGGTGACGGCGGCGATGTTCCCGTCGCGGGCGCGCAAGCTCTCCAAGCTCAATCTGCCGTTTGCTGTCCTTGCGCCTCTCGTCAAGGCGTTGCTGGCGCTTCCTGCATCGCCGCGGCCTGCGTCGTACGCTAGCGCGCTCACGGCGTTTATGCAGATGGAGGTGGCTGTGTCTTTCGAGCTGCACTTTGTGGAGCGGGCGCAGCTCGCGGCGGCGCTTGTCTCGGAGTTCCGCGGCGCGCTGACGTCTGCGGCCCGGCGAGCGGGAGAGAGTGGACGGATGGTCAAGGATGCTCAGCTCGAGCACGTGTGTGCGTTTGTGAGCTACGCGACGAGCCGCGGGCTCCGCGACGATGGGCTTGCCGAGTTGCTGCTTGGCGCGCTTGGCGCGCAGCTCCCGCTGCCGGACGGGACGACAGCCAAGTCAACGCTTGCGGCGGTGGTCATTGCGTACGTGGTCTCGCTCCTTGCGGCTGGCGATCTGCGGCTGGCGGTGGTGGTGCCGACGGCGCTGGACGTGGCGACCGAGGTTGAGCTTGTGGTCCTCTCGTCGCTCTCGAGCCTTGTACAGGCGGCGCTTACGCCCGAGGGCGTGGGACTGCGGATGATGCTCGAGCAGACCATTGTGCACGAGGCCGGCATGGCGTCGGCGCTGGAGCTGGGCGTCGGCGCGCGAGCGCGGCGGCTGGGCGCGGCGATTGTACTCGGCACCATGGTGTACACCCCGGTGCTGCAAAACGCGCTCGTCGGCGCCTCGCGGTTCTGCAAGATCGGCAAGGTGAACTACAAGGCGCTCGAATTGCTCGCGGCGATCCAGGCATCGCTGAGCGAGCTGGCGATTCGGACTGAGGGCGCGAGCGAGGGCGAGCTCGAGTCGGTGGCCATGGCGGCGTGCGGCGGGCTGCGGCTTGCGACGGCACTCGCCAGCGACGCCGGGACGCCGATTGCGCCGAGTTCCGGGTCGCTGCTGCTGGGCGTGTCGTCGGCGGCGCTGAAGCTGCTGCCGGCGGCGGTGCTCGACGGGGCGAACGGGATGAAGCTGGCGTCGCAGGCGCCACTCACGCGCGGACAAGTCGATGTCCTGGGCGCGGTCATGGCGCTGGTCTCGAGCATGCTGCGGTCGCGTGAGAAGGCAACGGTCTCGCTCATGGGCGGCGTGGTGGGCGTGGTGCGGACGGTGGTCCGCGGCGTGTTTACGGCGGCGCATGCCAACGGCGACAGGGCCACGGTCATGCTCGGCGTGGTGCACCAGTTTGCGCGGATGTGCAGCGACCTCGGGCGGCTCAACGAGGCCATCAAGCCGTTCCTGGCTCTCATTGTGCCGCTCTACGTCGACCTTGTGGCCATGGCGCCGCTCCCGCCGTTCGCGGTGGCCGACGTCGAGTACGGCATCTTTGAGCTGTTCAACTGCGCCGGCGAGGACGAGCGGACCGCCATGTTTGCGGCGCTCGGCGGCAAGATGACCCGCGGCGCGCGCGGCAAGACCGGCGACGACCTTGCATCGTCGACCAAGGACACGTTCCGGGCACTGCTCAAGAAGTTCCGGGTGTGGTACAAGCAGACCGGCCAGTGACGAGCCTGTCGGCAGAGGCGCGATAAACAGCGCAAAGCAGCGGAGAGGGCTGCCGCAGAGGCTTATCGCTTCTTGGGTGGTGACGAGACGGCGTCGGCGTCGGCGTCGGCGTCGGCGTCGGCGTCGCGGATGCGTTTGCCGTTGGCGTTGATGGCGTTGGGAGGAGATGGACCGAGGAGGGCAGCAGTCGGCTTGAGGTACAGCACGTCGGAGCGGATGATGTACTTTGTGCCGGCGAGGACCTCGGAGCCTTCGTGGACGAGCGCGCCTGCGGTATCGCCGTGCGGGAAGAAGAGCGCGGCGCCGATGCGCGGGACAACGCCGCGAGCCGAGACGACGCCCTCGGAACGCGACGGGCCAAAGAACGTGGTCGAGCCGCCGGTAAAGCCCTCGTTGAGGTAAAAACGGCGGTGAGGCGCGACCAGCGGTCGCCGTAGGCGTCAAAGACGTACTTGCCGTCGACGAGGCCCGAGCCCGGCCATGCGCCGTCGACGTGTGGCCGGTAGACGGCGCCGGCCTCGTAGCGGTAGACGCGGAGGCGGGCGTTGAGGCCGACGAGGTTGCCGCCGCCAAGATGGGGCGGCAGGAAAGGGGCGACACGGGTGTAGAGCGCGTCCATCAGCTGGTCCGAGCCGAGCCAGACGACGCCTGCGGCAGCGCGGCCTTGGATCTCGGAGTTCTCGGGAGTGACAGCGTACTCGGCGTCGGGCACAAAAGCCATTGCCTCTGCGGCGCCGACGATGGCAGCGCACTCTGACGGCGCGAGGGCGTGGGTGACGACAAAGGCGCCATCGACAAACGGCAGGTCGAGACGAGCCGACGGAGCGAGGTCGGGCGGGCGGATGGCGGCGACGATGACGGCGTCAGTGGAGTAGATGGAGAGCTCACGCATGCCCTTCCACCGGGCCTCCTTGGCGACGACGGTGAGGCTCTCTGGCGGGAGCAGCGGACCGGTGGCGGCGTCGGCGGTGTCTGTCTTTCCGCCCTGCACCGGCAGCGGGGCCCACGGCTCGTAGATCTGCAGATGGCCGTCGCCGGCGGTGCGAGCCACGGGCGCGCCAGCGGGATCAAACGGCAGCTGGCCGGCGGTGCGGAGGATGGCGTCGAGGACGATCCAATTGAGACCGTCGACACCGCCGCGGGCGGCGCCGGCAAAGTCAGCCTCGCGGACCCATCGCTGGAGGGTGCCGAGCTTGGGGACGGTGAGGGCGCGAGCGGCGGCCATGGCATCGATGGCAGCGGCATAGTCGCCGGACCGGAGAGCATCCGATGTCTTCTAGACCCACTTGCGACCGCCAGGAAGAGCAGATGCGGCCAGTTTTCCATCCCCGGATAGCTTGGCCGCCAGCGCAAATACGCCCGCTCGGAGTGCTCGGAGCTGCGGCCCGCGGAGGTCAGAGACCGGCGCCGCCGCCAGAGCATGGACCACGGCGGCAGCGGCATCGACCTGGGCCGCCGGAGGGAGGGAGCTTGACGCTCCGTTGGACGATCCAGAGCCGCTGTACACCTCGCTCGAGCGGTGCGCCATAGCAGCAGCCAGGCGCTTGGCCTTGCGGCGCTTCCCGAGCTTGCCCATGGTGCAGGGTGTGGTGAGGTGACCGACGGATGGGCTCATTGCTCATTGACTCGAATGGCGAACGTGGGTTGGAGCACGGGGAATCGGCAGGTCGGCCTGATGGGGGGATGGCGGAGTCTAACTGCCTCTATCAATGAAGAGAGAGGATGCATAGCATGTGGTCTGGTGGGTGGATGGTCGGGGGCACCGGCGTGGGGCGTATCCCGATGGAGATGGGGGGGGAAAAGCAAAGGCGGGACGGAACGAGCTGAAAAATGAGAGATCAGTGGAAAAAAGGCATCGGGCGATGGGTCGAGGTTGGCCATGTGCTGCAGACATGATGATCGACTGGGTGTACAACTGCAGGGCGGGATGGGGTTTGGCAACGTTTGATCTGTTCCACTTGCTGCTCTGCTCTTCTCTGCTTAGATTGTGCATCATCCAGCACTGGTCACATCGGTGCGACCGAGATCAAGCTCTAATCCAACGTCGAGCACGTGATCTACAGAGACGATGGTGTGTGCATGATGACGGACGACGGACAGCGACAGACAGTCTGAGATGAGTGCCGTCCTCAACTCGGCATCACATGGGCGACCACGGTACGATGCAATGAGGACGTGATACGAGGTAGTCGGCCGGCTTGGCTGGACTAGCGGATCTTCTTCTCGTCTCGCCGTGCAGCGGCAGCCATTTCAGAGCGAAGGCCAACAATCCAGTACAACTAGAGATGCACGTGCGCGGGCGGCAGGCGGTTGTGGCGGTGAGTTAGGAAGCGAGCGTACGCATCCGGTCGGAGCTGACCGGCTGACCAGTCCGCTCGACTGCCAAGCCGAGCAGACAGCCTCCCTCGCCCCTCCCTCCCCCCCCCCTCCTCTTCCTTGCCTCGAGCACGTACCACCGCCGCAATGTGGACTACCACAATGCCTCCAATGATTGTCCAGAGCGTGTCGAGGTCCATAGCCACGAGCCGAGCCGAGTCGAGTGCGGAGAGGGATCGAGGACGATAATGGTATGAATGGTGACAATGGCCATGGCGATGACCACCACCACCACCACCACCACCACCACCACCACCACCACCACCACCACCACCCAATATCCATCACTATTGTCCTATGCCACCATCCACGTCTGCCTTCTCTCTGTTCCCGATCATGCTCCCCCCTCCTGTACCATCCTGTCCTTCAGCTGCAAAACATTTTTTTGCCATCACCCCCCACCCGCCACCCCCCCCCTCCGGCCGACGGTTGGTTGCGCGCCAAACGCATCAAAGGCCAGACAGCGGCGGGCAGTGGGCTAGGGCGGGTATGGGCAACACCTCACGCCATCAGCAGGGCAAAGGAGGGATGGAGGCATGGGGAGAAAGTAGCGGGAATGTGGGCGGACGTGGGTATCGGTCGGGACAGCCGACGCCGGGATACGTGGACGAGTTGGAGGACAAATACCTTCGGTTGAAGGAGGCCCATTTGGCTCTCAAGGCAACGGCTCATGCTCAGGAGGAGAAGATTCGCAAGATGGCGACCAAGCTCGTGCGGCTCACGTCGGATTTGAAAAAGTATCGTTCGTCGCATGCTTCTGGTCGATCTGCCCAGAGTGAGTCTGCCAATGTCTCCTTTGCTGCTGCGAGGGGTTCGGCTGCTCGCGATGTCGATGCAGAGGCTCTCATTGCCGACTTGCAGGACAACGTCCGCGAGCTCAAGCACAAGAACGAGTCGCTGGCAAAGAAGCTCATCTACTTCCGCAACCTCAACGCGGCTCCGTCCGGTGGCGCTGGCTCGGCCCGGTCGCGGTCGCGGTACGGATCAGTGTCGGCAAAGACAGACTCGGGCCTTGCCCGGTCGCGGTCGCGGTCGCGCAAGGCCGGTCTGGTGCCTGGCATGCTACCTGAGGGCCCCCGGAGCCGGACGCGGTCGCGCAAGGGAGGCATGCCGCCGCGCCCGCACTCGGTTGGCGGCGCACGGTTCAAGCGGCTCGATGGCGAGGAGAGCGGCGGCGAGGAGAGCGGCGACGACGGGTCGGGCGACCACGGGTGGACGAGAACACGGCACCGTCGTCGGACAAGATGACTGCCGTCATCGCCTTTCTCCGCAACAAGCTCGGTGATGCCGAGTCGGCGCTCGCCAGCCTCGAGTCGCGCAACTCGGAGCTCGAGGCCGAGCTTCAGTCGACGCGCGACACACTCGAGGCGTCGGCTAACCCGCTGCACACGGCGGCATTGATGCGCAAGGAGCAGGCAGACGAGATGCAAGTTGTCCGACTCGAGGCCGTGGTCCAGTCGCTCAAGGAGCAGCTGGTGCGGTCGCAGAGCCAGGCGGCCGGCTCGGCGGCACTCCTCGAGCCGCTCAAGGCCAACCAAGCGGCGCTGATGGCGGAGAACAAGTCGCTTCACGACCAGCTCCGTGCCGAGCGGCTGCGAGCAGGACAGCTCGACTCGCTGCAGCAGCGGATTTCTGTCCTCGAGGGCGCGCTCTCCGAGGCTGAGGTCATGCTCGCCGACGAGCGCGCGGCCAAGGTGGCGTACGCTGAAGAGAACTCGCGGCTGCTCTCGTCGTCGGTCTTCACCTCGCTGCAGTCGCAGGGCGAGGCGGCGAAGCTGCTTGCCGATGCCAAGCTTGCCGCCGCGCAAGAGGCGCAGGCCTCGGCGCTCGGTGAGACAAAGGCACTGCAGGGCCAGGTCTCGGAGCTGACTGCTGCCAACGCCGAGCTGTCGTCGCAGCTGCGCAAGGCCAAGGTCGACGGGCTCAAGCGCGAGACCGAGCTCAAGGCCATGGCGGAGCAGCTGGGCGCGTTTACGTCGTCGGGCGTCGACACTGTCGACCTGCAGCGTGCGCTCGCGCTGGTCAAGGCTAAGAAGGCCGGCGCAGGGACGCTCGGCGGCGCGTCGTCCAAGGTGCTCGACTTTCTGGCGCCGACGGCGCCGCTGGAAGACCAGGAGGAGACCAACGCCGGGCTCATCCGCGACTTGACCAAGGCCCACGAGATGCTCGAGCTGCAGATGCAGCTCAACAACGAGCTGAAGGCAACCAACGGCGAGCTGCTCGCCGACATGGCCTCGGTCCGTGCCGACTACGAGGACCAGCTCGCTACATACGCTGCGCAAATTGATGCCAAGAACGCCACCATTGCCAAGCTTGAGGACCAGCTCGCGTCGTTCCTCTACTCGGCACCGGGCAAGGTGCTCAACCGCCAACTGGAGGAGGCTGGCAGCGCGAGCCAGAACGTACCGCAGCTCCGGGACGACGAGAATCTTCTCGAGCTCCACATCGGGCGACTCGATCTTGCGCATGGGGTCACGCTCTCACCCCCGGGCGCCGACCGCGGTACCGGGCGGGTTTTTGTCGCCTTTGACGTCTACGACTTTGAGACGATGGCGACACACCTCGCGCCGGCAGCCGCACCGGCCTTTGACTACACAGCACGGTATGTGGTCAAGGTCACGCCGGGCCTGTTTGAGTGGCTGGCGACGGCGGCGGTGACGCTCGAGGTCTACACGGCAGCCGGGCTCGAGTACGAGCACGTCGGCTCTGCGGTGGTGCCGCTCGCTGCGCTTGCCGACGATGCGTCTGGCAAGGCAAAGCACCACGCGCTCGAGGTTACAGCGCTGAGCAGCGGCAAGGTTCTGGGCTCGCTGCGGATGTCGCTGCGGCTGCTGCGGCCGATGGCGGAGGCGCTCGCGCTCCACCAGAAGCGGCGGTCACTGATGAGCGTGCTCGACCCGGCCAAGGCCGTCCAGAGCTCTGCGGCGCAAAGCCGGATGCTTGCGCTCGCCACAGCCCGCTCCCTCGATCTCCGGGTCAATGTCCTCTCGCTCCGGCTCAACAAGGCACGTGGAAGCTCGGCGCAGCCTGTTCTCTACTACCAGCTGTTCAACACCGAGCGGACAGCGCTTCAGCTTGCAGCGCTGGCCGACGCCGACGAGCCTGGCGTCTACCGCATCGGAGAGCTCGCCGAGTTTCCGCTCAAGGCCACACCCGAGCTGCACGCCTACCTAGCCGCACGCGAGCTCGAGTTCATCCTTGTCGACGCGGCCGACCCACGGCTCTCGTCGTACATCGGGGTGGCTAGCGTTCCGCTCGCCGGCCTTGTTTCGACCGACGCCAGCGGACAGGTTATCCTTGGCTCGTACGCGCTCTACTCAAGCGAGGGCGTCGCGATCGGCGAGTTGGCGGTTGACATCCAGTGGGGCGCGCACTACGTGGCACCTCGGGAAGTGGGTGGTGCTGGCAGCAAGCATGCTGCGGGGCGGGTCCATGCGGCGCAAAAGGCGGTTCTTGGCGATCGGCTGGCAAGCACGCCGGACAAGGGCGTGAGCGCGGCCGCGTCGACAGTCAAGGGCCAGACCGAGGCTCGCGGCGACGACGACGACGACGCCGACGTCCTCGACGCACCGTACTTTGACGAGGCCGATCGGTACCATCCCGAGGCTGACGCGGCGCTGGTAGCGGCTGACGACAAGGTCGTGGTCGAGGTGGGAGGCGTGAGCTTTTGCGACACGCCCGACGCGCTTGGCATTGCCGGCGAGCTCGTCCTCATGTACGCCTTCCTCGACGAGTGGGTCGAGGCGCTCCCGGTTGACTCGTCGGTCGATGCGCAGGCGCAGGCGTCGTCGTTTGCCTTTGGCCACTCGCGGGCCTTCCCGGTCCGGCCGGGCACTTCTGCGGCGGCCGAGCTCGAGGGCGAGTGCTCGCCCGAGATTCTCGGTGATCCGCAGTCTGAGTTTGGCGTCTTTGAGTTTACCCTCCTCTCGGTCACATCGCCCGAGGCACAGACGGAGATCGGCCTTGCGGTCATCCCCTTCAATGCCATCATCAATGGCGGTGACGTTCAGGACGTGGACCTCGACGTTGTCTCCATCGCCACCGACGCACCCATCGGCACTCTCACCGTCTCTATCACCGCTGCCTCGGTCCTCCGCGGCGCCGCCAAGCGCGCCGCCTCCACCTAGCCTGTTGGCTGCAGTCACTCCCAGCAACTGGTAGATCTCATCCCGCCCTTTGCGTAAACATCCATTCAAACGTGCGCTGCCACGCGCCACTCTTCCCCGATCGTCGTGACATGGTGGTGTCTGCGGTGTGTGTGTGTGTGTGTGTGTGTGTGTGTGTGTGTGTGTGTGTGTGTGTGTGTGTGTGTGTGTGTGTGTGACTGGTCGGGCTGACATCGGCGACGAGGAATGATAGCGAGTGATGACAAGACTGGGCGCAGCACCAGCACCACATGACCCGGGTCCACACGGCAGAGACCTCGTCGACGACCCCGAGCAGCAGCACGTCGGCGACATTGAGTCCTTTCGCATCGTGCGAGCGGACAGGTTCGTCGCCTTTGTCGGAGAGCATGTCGGCCAGGGAGAGCATGGACCATGCGAGTCCGAGCGATGAGCTGCTGGGTCATGGACATGAGCATGGGCATGGGCATGGGCATGGGCATGGGCATGGGCATGAGCATGGGCGTAGTGGACGGGAAGGAGGCAGGCAGCGTGTGCGGGAGGGGCACGGCCGTCGGTCTGGCGGGCGGCGGCGGCATCGTCAGTATCGAGCGTATGATGATGATGTTGATGATGATGATGGTGGTAGTGGGGATGGTCATGGCCATGGTCGGGCAAGATCGAGAGCGGCCTGGCGGCCGATGGCGGTGGTGTGGACGCCGTTGCCGTGTATCACCTGCTGTTGTCCGTGCATCGGACATATGGGCATCACAGACTCGGATGGCGCCGTCCATGGTACGGAAAGCAGGGTGTGGGTGTGATCGCACGCAAGGGGGGGGGGGGGGGGGGTTGATGATGACTCACGGGGACGGAATGGGGTGCTTCAAGACTTTGCTGGCAACTTCTATGTCAATGTAGGGCGGCTCTCGTTCGGCGAGCCGCTGATGGAGTGGGTGCTGAAGAGCGAGAAGATGGGAGGCGAGGGGGGGCGATACAGCGAGGCGTACGACGGGGCGATTGCCGAGGCCGATGCGGTATTTGGCGAGAAGAAGCACCATCTTGTGACGCAGAACTGCCACTCGCACGTGGCTGAGGCGCTGACGGATATGGAGTACGGCGGACGGTCATGGGGCATGGTCTCGGCGTGGGCCGGGCTCATGCGCCACGGGCAGTACGTGTCGTGCGGGGCGCGGGCCAAGGTCTGGCTGCCGGCGGTGGTGGTGTGGGGCGTGGTGGCTGGGGTGGTTGTGGCGATCACGCAGGCGTAGACGAGTTGCTGCGTTCAGCGTCGCGGCGGGCGCGGCGTGCGCGTGCAGAGAGGGTGCGGACGACAAAAGTTTCGACGTCTGCGATGGGATCGATGACTGCGACGCGGCAGGCGAGGCGCGATGTCTCCTCGTGGTAGGTCTCGTCAGGGGTAGCCTTGAGGACGGCAACAAGCGAGACGAGGACCGACTGCAGGGCCGAGGTCCTGTGGACATCGGCCGCCTCAAACTTGGCGAGGACGTTGGGCAGATGCTCCGAGGCGTAGACGTGGGCGTAGCCCTGCGACCAGCGGACAGCCGACTCGTACTTGTCCTCGGCACGCTTGACTTTTGTGGCAAGCTTGGGGTTGGAGGCGGCGACCGGGGCCGCGTCAGGTCCTGCGGCGAGCTCGGCGGCCTTGGCCTTGGAGAGGGCGGCAGTGTAGGCCTTTTCGGCGGCGGCGACGTCCTTGGCCAGCAGCTTGGCCTCCTTGCGGTGGGAGTGGAGCTCGCTGACGATGGCGGCGTGCTTAGTGCGGAGGGTGTCGACGAGCTTAGCAACAGCCTTGCACGAGGACTCGAGCTGAGCGGTAAACGCGGCGGTGGCACTGGCCTTCTTGCTCATGACGCCGAGCAGGCCATCCCATGCGACAAGGAGCGACGAGTTGCCGAGCAGCGTCTCACCTTTGAGGCGCTGGACAGCAGCAGCGGCACGGTCTGTGAGCTCGGCCATGCCGCGGGCGTAGGCCTCCTCAAGGGCGCCGTACTGGCCGAGAAAGGCCCCAAACAGCCTGGTGGCCTCAATCGCGTCGGTAGCGCGACCGGTGACGACGTCGAGCTGGCCACCGAGGGCACGGTACGAGAGATCGACGTCGCCGGGCGCGACATCGGCACCGTCGCCGGAGCTTCCGCCGGCGCCGTCGGCCGACCACGAGTCGTCATCAGTCGGCGGGGAGTTAAATCCCGAGTCCGAGTCCGAGTCGGACGAGTGGTACGGGGCGAGTGTGGCACGCGGCGACGAGCCGCTCGACGCCCGGCCCATGCTCTGCAGCTTGAACTCGGTGCCAAGCGGCAGGGTGGCCGGTGGCTCGCGGGCCATTTGGGCCTCGTACATGTATTCGGTCTGCAGCGGCTGATCGGCCGGCAGCTGGGCGGAGTACACAAAGTCTGCTTCGGACGGCAGGAGGGTGTCGTCTGACCGTGGATGCCGGGATAGTTGGAGCCCGAGATCGACCAATCCCGGCCGAGGAAATTCAGAGTGTCCGCCCCACCAGTTGGTGTCCCCGCCCCCAACCAGCGTGTCCGATAGCAGTCGGTGTCCGTCCGCCAGCCCAGCCCGTCCACACCCCGTCCGTCCCGTGCCCCGTGAGTCCCCTTCCCCTTCCCCTTCCCCTCCCCCCTCCCTTCCCTCCCCCCCCCCCCCCCCCTCAATCTCCTTGGACATACCCGTGTCAAAGCCACCGGTGTCAATCCCGCTCATGTCTCTGGCCTCTGCGTGCGGTGTCCCTCCCTCCCAGGCCTGTGACCTGCCACCGCACAGCCAATGCCTGGCACATGACCTGTGCCTGACCGACCACACGCCTGATCCGACTGTTCACTCGATCTTAGGTGGGTATGTCCGAGCTGATTGGGCTCGATCCGAGGTGGGGCTGGTATGAGCTGTTTGGGCTCGATCCGAGGTGGGGCTGGTATGAGCTGATTGGGCTCGATCCGAGGTGGGGCTGGTATGAGCTGATTGGGCTCGATCCGAGGTGGGGCTGGTATGAGCTGATTGGGCTCGATCCGAGGTGGGGCTGGTATGAGCTGATTGGGCTCGATCCGAGGTGGGGCTGGTATGAGCTGTTTGGGCTCGATCCGAGGTGGGGCTGGTATGAGCTGATTGGGCTCGATCCGAGGTGGGGCTGGTATGAGCTGATTGAGCTCGATCCGAGGTGGGGCTGGTATGAGCTGATTGGGCTCGATCCGAGGTGGGGCTGGTATGAGCTGTTTGGGCTCGATCCGAGGTGGGGCTGGTATGAGCTGAGCGAGTTGAGCGATCGACACTGGTTTGGGGGAGGGCTGATCGCAGGTGGTTGGGGTGCAGGGGGTGGGGCTGATCAAGTGCGGCTGATGACAATCAAACCGACTGGGCACAACGGCGGCGTAATCATCACATGGCTGCGGTGGGTGGGCCTGCAGGCTAACGCTGTCGGCGGTACGCTGGCGTCGTTTACTGTGATCAGCCCCAGTAGTTGTAGAACTTGTCGCCGTACCGGTTGACGTCTTCAGCCTTGGCCTGCAGCGGCGTCGGCTCGGCGACAACACCCGAGGCGGCAGCGGCAGCGGCAGCAGCCTTCTTCTCGGCCAGCTCTGTGCTGAGCCAGGCCTCGATGAGCTGGAGGAGCGGCGATGCGCCAAAAGACCGCCGACCCGAGACCGGAACAGCGCGGGCGAGCGTCTCAAGCTCCTCGCATTCGCCGAGGTCGACAAAGCGGCGGACGGCGCCGTTGCAGAGATGGACAACGTGGGTGGCCCAGTCGCCAAGGCCGTCAAAGATGTGTGTGGCGTAGACCACGGTGGCACCGCGGGTCTCGGTCTGATGCCGGAGCCAGGCCATGAGGTCGTGCCGAACAAGGACGTCGAGATCGACGGTGACTTCGTCGAGGAGGAGGAGCGTCCACGGCTTGAGCAGGCCGAGCAGGAGCTGGACCCGCCGACGCTGGCCGTCAGACACCTTGTGCATCCGCCATGTCGGCTCGACGCCGAGCAGAGCCAGCAGCTCATCACGGCGATCCGGGTACGTGTTGCCGCCCATGGAGACGATGAGATCCGCCACGACAACGTCCTTCCGCACCACAGGGTTGTGCGCCCACTCGGCACCGAGGAAGGTCAGCCCACGCGGAGTGGCCCGGTACGCATCCTTGCCCAGAACCACCACCGGATGCTTGACCAGATGCTTGCCGGCCAAGATCCGCAGCAGCGTCGTCTTGCCCGTCCCGTTCAGCCCGACAAGCAGGGTTCGGGTGCCCGGGGCAAAGTCGAGCGAGACGTCAAACAGGACCTCTTTCTCCCCACCATAGTCATACGACAGCTCCTCCACATGAACCGCAGCGTCCATCGCCAACGACGACTCCGCTGCCTTTGCATCGGTCATCTCCATGGCCATCGCCTCGACACCATCGCCAGCGCCGCCGTTACCCGCACCTTGGCTGGCATTCCCACCAGCCATCACCACCTCCATATCACTCGCGCCTGTACTCGCCGCCATCTCTCACTTGCTCCTCTTGTCCCAGTTACGTGTGTTGACCCGTACACTCGTCGTTGCCCCTCCCTTCCGCTCGCCGCCTTTTGAACCGTAAGCTGAGCCGAGTTGAGCGGAGCAGATTGAGTTGAGCAGCCGTCACAGCGCTGACGACAGCTGAGCTCAGCCGACCGGCTCCTGCTGGGCCCGACCGCAGGCATACCGATCGCTTCCTCAACCACCACCACCAGTCATATAGAGAGATAGCATTGGGTGTGGGTAGGCGAGGGATGAGGGGAGTACGGGCCAATGAGGAGGTCGGAGCAGGGCTTGGGCTGCTTCATCTCGGATCGCTCAGGCTGAGTCCGGTACGTTTGCCGGCATGAACTGGACTCACATGCCATCATTGATGGCGACTCAGCCCCCCTCCCCCTGTATAGTCGATAACGGCCTTCTATGGCCGATGCGAATGCCGATGCAGCCGCCGCAGAGCCGCAGAGCCGTTGCAGCCCAGTTGCAGTTGTGATGATGCCATCATGCACCGATCGTTGGCAAGTCACGCGTCTCCGAGTGACTATGAACAGAGGGTCTTTAGCCCATGCCCTACCACCAGCAACCCCTCTCCCAGCCCCCCCCATCCCTATCCCCGATCAATCTCTCCCCACCCATCCCCGATCAAGAAACAATTCCCCACCCCCCCCCCCCCCCCCCTCCCC